GCTACAAGCCGGAAGGCCGAGGGTTCAAGTCCCGATGAGGTCACTGGATTTTTCAGTTGACCTAATCCTTCCAGGCGCACTAGGCCCTGGGGTTTACTCAGCCTCTAACAGAAATGAGTACCAGGAATTGATTAAATAATTTTCCTGGGGAGTAAAGCGCGGCCGGCGCGTAAGGCTGACAACCTTACCGCCATCTTTGAGCCGATTGCCTAGATAATGTGGGACCCTCAACGTCTCACAAGCCTATTGGCCTTCACGGCCTGTTGCAGGGATAGCTTTACTTTACTTTTACTAGATGGAGGATAGCTTCATGCTCCGAACGCTTTATCCTTAGGAAGGAAGTCGCCAGCACTGATTGGATAGGAGGCTGGATGGACCCAGAGCTGTTCTGGACGTGGCAGCAGAAAGCATTTTCAGCACAATGTACAATAATAATATGAGCGAGGGAAATTATATTTACTATTCAGTTTTAGAGAGTAACTTACTTCCTTACTTACTTATGGAGCTAAGCCCTTCTTGAGGAGCTGCCAATTCTGCAGCTACTCAAGAATTTCCCAGAATTTTATGGAACCCGAAAGTTCATTACCGTGCTCACAAGAGCCCTCTACTGGTCCCTAACCTGAGCCAGATAAATCCAATTCACACCATCCCATCCTATCTCTAAGATCCATTTCAATAAAGTCCACCTATCTACGTCTTGTTCTTCCTAGTGGCCTCTTTCCTTTTGGATTTCCGTCAATATCATATATGCATTCCTCGTCTCCCCCATTCGTGCTACATGCCCTGCCCATCTCATCCTTCTTGACTTGATCATTCTAATTATGTTTGGAGAAGAGTACAAGTTATGAAGCTCCTCATTATGCAGTTTTCTCCAACCTCCTGTCACTTCATCTCTCTTCGGTCCAAATATTCTCAACACCTTGTCCTCAAACACCCTCAGTCTATGTTCCTCCCTTAATGTCAGAGACCAAGTTTCACACCGATATTTAGAGAGTAACTAATGAACTAAATTGAACAAATGAAATCTCTAGTCAAAAAATCTTCGAAACTGTGAACCGCGAGTTATATGTTAATTCAGGCAAGTGAGTTTAAGGTTTAAGTCTACTGAACAAAATGCTACCCCTATGGACAGTTATAATTCAATTCAAACTAAAGGACTGAGCTGTATGACGGTTCTGGAACTACAGAACTCTTAGTCTAGATTTGCACGCTCCTATGGTACCATAAACATTTGAAGGCTGAACCACGCAGGTATCGTAAGCGAAATATAAACCTACAATTTGAGAGCACGTTTACTTTTGTATCAAAGTGTGTATTAATGTGAAATTAAGCGATAAATAAAAGAGTTGTCTGCTGATAAGGAAATTCAGGTTCGAAATCAAGTTATGTAACACAACGCCTTGTTTCATCAGACAACTAACTGACTCCATGGAGACTTCTTGAAATGCTATCAGTCGCTCAACTTCTCATTAATTTCCAAAAATTTTATGGAACCCGAAGGTTCATTCCCGTGTTCACAAGAGCCCCCCACTTGTCTCTATCCTAAACCAGATCAATTCCGTCCATACCGCCCTATCTTCTCTCTCTAAGATCCTTTTTTAATATTATTGTCTCACGTACATCTAAATATTCATAGTAATCGCTTTTGGCTTTCCCACCAAAATCCTATATACATTCATCTTGACACTCATGCGTGCTACATAACCTGTTCATCTCATTCTCCTTGACTATATCATTCTAAGTATGCTTGGAGTAGATTACACTTACCCCAGACCTTACGTACAGATATTACAAAATATAAATATTTCCTGTCACAAGAAGCTTGTGTGTGGCTTAATGCAATAAAATTACAAAGTAACATGTACAAGTAACTCAATGGAGTATCATCTCTCTCGAGGAGACGATATTCGCTCATCTGGTGAAAAAAAGAATCCTTCCTTTTATGGGACCCGAAGGTTCGCAAATTTACTCAAAATAGCTCATAACTGGACCACACTGAGCCAACCGACCCCTGTCCACACTTCCATTAATGTCCAATTTGCTGTCACTGTCCCACTCACGCTTTTGTCTTCGTTGGTAATTTCTTCCGTCCAGATTTTGATCTGCCCCATGCTTGCTGCATGCTCCGCCCATCTCAACATAACTGTTTTGATTGCCCTAAAGCTTTTAATTGCATTATGCTACAAGCCGGAAAGTCGCGGAATCGAATCCCGATGAGATCATTGATTTTTTCAATTGACCTAATCCTTCTAGCCGCACTATGGCCCTGAGGTCGAGTGAGCCTCTGACAGAAATGAGTACCGGGAATATTTTGGGGGGTAAAGTGCGGCGGGCGCGTAGGGCTGACAAGCTTACCGCCATCTATGAGCCGGCTGTCTAGAGAAAATGTGGGAGCCACAACGTCTCACAAACCTATGGGCCTCCACCGCCTGTTACAGGGATACCTTTACTTACTTTAATACTTTTAATTTAAAAAAGTACAAATCTTCTTATAAAATTGTTACGATATTTTACAATTCTGTGGAAAATATTTTGGCCTGAGTTAATAGCAAACAATAAGTAATAACAGGATAGATACAGTTTTATAAAAGTACGAAATTAATCCAGCCGTAAGAATTAGCACGAAGTTGCTCAGTGGAAGCATGATTCTAAGAGGCAGTGGAACGTAAGTAAAAGTAATATAAATAGGCTACAAGAGAAAGGCGACCGGCAAACGCGCACACCCACGCAATCACCGACACTCCCATACCACGCAGCGGTATGCCTACACGAGAGTGCAGCGTCGTGTAAAACATTTCCTGGATTTTAGTGATTTTAAAATTGCGTTAGATTAGGGGTGGGAGATATACAAACGCTCTCAAGAACTCGTGTTATTTCTGATTCGCTGTCATAGAAATAAAAACAGAATAAATGACTTGGACGGTTAGACTTCTGTATCTCTCCTGTGGTCCCACCTGAGAAATCTTATGGAAATGAAAATAAAACCTAAGGAAGATAATACACGGGAATTTGAATAAAATCCGTTGTGTTTAAACACCGAAGCTATCAAGCTGATACGTGTACCACCAGTCTCTTGATTTTAGAATCCTCACTTGTATCCGTAAACCTCTAACCCTTGCCTTTGGCGTGCTGTAGGAAGTAAAACAGCGAAGAAGCTAAAGAGCAAACTGACGCGTAGCGGTAAAGCTCTGCATCCCTATTCAGGAGGTGTTCGCTTCGAAACTTGGCACTTACAAGGAGTATCCTGACTGAGGATTTTATCAGTCTCTCTAAGCAAAATCTGGGATAGTTCCTCGATTAAGCTATGACTATTTTCTTCCGAATACTCGCCTACTAAATTTCATCAACCATCCCACAATTCCACGCTATATATAGTCTATACATTGACAGAATCGTAAAACAACTCACAAAACCTGCAGACGTAGGGTGGAGTGAACAGGAAAGCCCATGGAATTTAAATCTCAGTACTATAAGGGTATATGGGTCAGGGAAAGAATGAACACGCCGATCACGGTAGCCGAGCGGTCTAAGGCATGCGCTGTCTTCGCTCGCTCGGAAGCCGGGATCGTGGGTTCGGATCTGTTTCCTGTGAGGTACGAACTGAATTCTTATATATTATTCTTATACACTGCCGGTCACNAGAGGCCTTGCGACGAGCTGATCACCCGCCCAAGGAGACCTACCGAATGAGTAAGATCTAGAAAAACCGAAGTGAACGGAGAAGTTCATGGAGGTAGGCCTAGGCCCACTGGGGCTGTAGTGCCAAGGACAAAAAAAAAGAATGAACACAGATGGTATTGATTCAAATCGATGGCCTACTCCTCACCCTACCTACATTGCACACCATCCCTCAGTTAACACCAACAACAAACTGACAGGAGAGAGAGGGGGGGAGGAAATTGGTCTGTGTGGGAAAAGGAACGCAGAGAGGAAATAGGTGTTAGACAAATGGATGTGGGAGAATTATGATCGTTCTTCTCCTGACATGACTTTGGACAGAAATCAGTTATTATATTCACGTTGCGGTCGCTTTGACCTCGGGCAACGGTGTCCTTTGGATACTTGTCTGGGTGGCCGGCAGAGCTGGTACGGACACGATGGAGTAGATAAAACTCCTGTCCCTGCTGGGAGTTTGGTCTCAGCGAGTCACTTCCGCTACTGAGTTAACACAACTCATTTCTTGGGATGGGGTGAGACTGAGTCCACTTGGCACTTCTGCCACAGTTTGGTCTATTGTACCAGCCCCAGACGATAGATGAGTGGAGCAGTCGGTGGAGTGAAAATGGGCACAGGGAAACCGTAGTATTCGGAAAAAGAAATATCACAGTGCCACTTTGTCTGCCACAAATCCCATGACCTGACACGGGCTCGAACCCGAGTCGCCACAGTGGGAAGCCGGTGACTAACCGCTTGAGCTATAGCACGGCCTCAGCTCCCTTGTATAAGTGTCTGTTTTTGTCGTTACCGACATGTATTAAAACACGTTTTATTTAGAGTTAATGATTATAACCTGAAATTAAATAATAATAAAAATTTAATTTATCCCTCATAGAAATCACACTGTACTCCCGTTACAAAGATGAATCAGTTAATGCTGTTTTGGAAAATAGCCTAAGTTTATACGAAACCAATAAATGCATTGTGGGGAAAAGGCTGGTGGTATGTATAGAAACCGCTGTGCTTTAAAGACCCTAAACATGTCTGATCAAGTTAATATAGTGTGTTGGGAGAGTCAGTGGAATGAATCACCTTGTACGTTATGGTATTCTGACCAAGCCTTGATGTCCTATGAGTCTGACGGTGAACTAGTGTCATATGGCTCTGTGACAACAGGAAAACAAAAACAATGAACAATCCTTATAAAATCAATAAATTCTTGTTTCTGGACACCTTTCAGTAGAATATACGAAGGCAAATCGAAAAGTCTTTGCCCCTATTTTGTTTTCAGCCACAATAATACACATACAGGGAAATCAAAATACAGGCAGTGTTCTAAGTACCTTTGACTATTTTTCCATATAGTCACCAACCCGATTCAGGCACTTGTCCCATCGCACCACTAGCTTGGAGATGCCGCTGTTGTAGAATTCGGCCGGTTGAGCGCGGAACCACCGCCGGACAGCGGTTTTCGCGTCGTCGTCGGAAATGAACCTCTGGCCTGTCAGGAACTTCTTCAGTGGACCGAACACGTGGTAATCACTGGGGGCGAGGTCTGGACTATACGGTGTATGCTCCATCATCTCCCATCCGAATGAGTGCAGTCGCGCCCGGGGATTCTCGTGGACGATGCGGTTCTCCTCCATGACAACGCCAGGCCTCATGTGGCAAACAGGACCGCCGCCCGACTGGTGGATTCCTGATCGTAGCGGTATACCTCCAATGATGATTCATTAAGAATCGAAACATGTTAGGTAATTAAGTGCTGAAGTGGTAAACGCATTATATGTCACATTGAACTGAAATAAACTTAATTGTAAACTTAGTAGTGTGACGGACCAGAATGCAACAAATCAAACCCTTAAGCTGATTTGCCGTTGCCGCGTAAGGGAATTAATTTCGATTTATCTGGTCTTCTTATTGGTTTCCTTTTCGGAATTCTTACTCGATTTTACGAGGAATGAAAGTGAGTTTTTTTTTGGCTCGCTGTTTTTTTATTATTATTTCTGTTTTACACGTACCATCCTGATAATTTTACAGGCCTACGTACAAATAAATAGCATTATACCCAAGGGAACAGTAATCATAACTCGAACTTTCAATTTTACTGTGAATTCTAAATTCTTGCGAAAATTCGTTAAAGGGGAGACCGGCTTATGAATATGTATAGACATGAAAACAAGCGGACAAAATCATAGGCAGTTAAGACAGGCCTGGCGATAAATTAATGAAACTTCATTGCACTAGAAGAATTCAGCCTTCTGGAACATAACGCCCTGTAGCACCTTGAAAGAGAACATAAGTTTTGGAGGAACATGTCACCTCCATCTTCAGGGTAGTAAAATAAGCGAAACAAGAAAGTAGCACGAAAAAAGCACCAAGGTTTGCATATCTGTCGACTGAATTGTGGAAAACATCTTTGAATATTTAATTACCCAGAATCTGAAGTGAATTTCCTAAGTAATATATTTCGTCTTCATTTTAAAGTCGCAGTTCCGAATGTCTTTAGACCATCATTGCTTCATAAGCACAGGGAATTACTGTTCACGTATACAGTTCACACGCCAGTTAATCTACTATGTATAAATTTTAGTGGTTAGATGCATAATTAATATTAGTGAGCGTGATTTTTAAATCACAACGTAGGACTGCAGCAGGATGACGCAAGAACATGGGCAGTATAAAACCAATGCCAGCGCAGAAAGTAGCAAACAGCTACCTCCCACCATACCATCGACCCTCGGACGGTCACCGCTACAGGCGCTGACTTTTGGCACAGAATTCTCAATGGCGTAACTACCAGATGCGGTATGCCAACAAAAATCAGGCCCCCTGACTGATGTAGTCAGTTTATGACCTAAAATCACACCTCTCATTTATTAAGAAAGACATGAAGCCTTGTTGGTCAGGTAGACGAATACAAGCTGTAAATTTGAGAAGAGATGCAGTAGCGGGAGCCCGGGGAAGATGAGCGGGGTCACGGAGACTGGGAGAACTTTGGTTCGACAACAGATTGCTCGCTCACTGCACACAGCAATGCAATCTGGAAATTGATCTCTCACCACAGAAAACAAGCGTCTTAGGACAGAATTTTGAGAATAATAAAACAAAACAAATACTAACTCCGTGATTTTAGTCCGCAAGCGAACTATACCAACCGAGCGACCGCCGCTTGTCGGCGAAGTCAGTACCAACTTTTGCGGATAGAGGGTGTCGCGTGGTCAGCGCAACGGACCCCCCGGGCTTTAATTTCGGTTTTCTAGACCGGAGCCGCTATTTCCTTGAAATAACTCCTCAATTATCATCACGAGGCTGAGTGGACCCCGTTCCAGACCCACTACTTCCAAGAAAAAATATGGTAGAGCCAGGAATCGAACCCGGACCTCTGGATCTGTAGCCAGGAACTCTGACCACTCGACCACAGAGGTGGTTTGAGGAAAATATTTGTACCTAAAGGGAATGAAATACAAAACTGTGACTGGAAATCTTGAAGGGACAAGATTGTTTTGTAGACCTATGAGTAGGCAGGAAGATAATATTAACATTATCTTTAAGAATTAGGTGTGATGATCTGAATTCAACCAACCTGGCTCAGGGTAGGATTCAGTGGCAGTCTCTTACGAATCTTTGGGTTCAACAAAATGAAAACTTCGTGGTCAGCTTTTGAAGAATGACTCTTCTCCAAGGAGTCCATTAATACGTTCAAATACTTACTAATGGAGCTGAGCCATTCTGGAGGAGCCACAAATTCTGCAGCTACTCAAGAATTTCCCAGCATTTTATGGTACCTGAAGGTTCATTATCGTGTTCACAAGATCCCTCCACTGGTCCCTATCCTGAGCCAGATCAATCCAATACATATCATCCCATCCTACTGATCAAGTACAGTGAATAAAATTAATTAATGATTCGGAGATGTCTACCTGTGGGCAAGTTTCTCTTCGAAATTACTTCATACGTTTGAGTGAAAATTCTTATTGGAAATAAAGACAAAAATCTGTGGACGGTGCGCACTGCTAAATAGCATGATTAACTTTAATAAATATAATCTATAATAAATTAATATCAAGGTAAAATGAGAAATGCCAAATACTAAAGACGATTTCGGGAAAATATATAAAGTCCATTCAAATGTGTCTTTTCAAACTTCTTGCTTATAAACAAGTTACGCACCGTGACAAAACGACTGACACGCAACTGGAAAATTCCTCGACTAAATCCTGAAGCTGATTATCCTGTCAAAGTTTTATTCGGTGTTTAATTCTTGTACCCAGGGAGACCCTTGCAACACTAAGGCCTGCAACGTTTTATGCGTCATCCTTAACGAGTCGAGTGAAACTAGTTTTTAGACTTCTGGACAGTAAGTTTGCGTCAGACTTCTTGAGTAACCGTGTGTAAGAAAGTCTTTCTTAAGATGTTGAAACCCAAAGATTAATAACTGCCACATAAAACAGGATTTAAAATTTAAAAATATATATTTTATTTCCATAATAACCACGTACACACTCGTTCGTCTCTCACACGATGCATTTCAATTATGCATCGTAACCTGGTCTCTGACTTTAAGGGAGGAACACAGACTGAAGGTGTTTGAGAACAGGGTGCTGAGGGGAATATTTGGACCGAAGATGGATGAAGTGACAGGAGGTTGGAGAAAACTGCATAATGAGGAGCTTCATAACTTGTACTCTTCTCCAAGTATAATTAGAATGATCAAGTCAAGGAGGATGAGGTGGGCAGGGCATATAGCACGAATGGGGGCGAAGCGGAATGCATATAGGATATTGGTGGGAAAGCCAGAAGAAAAGAGACCACTGGGAAGACCAAGTCGCAGGAGGGTGAACAATATTAAAATGGCTCTTAGAGAGATAGGAAGTGATAGCATAGATTGGATTGATCTGGCTTAGGATAGGGACCAGTGGAGGGCTCTTGTGAACACGATACTGAACCTTCGGGGTCAATAAAATGCTGGGAAATTCTTGAGTAGCTGCAGAATTGGCTTCTCCTCAAGAAGGGTTCAGCTCCATAATTAAGTAATTAGAACGCAAGTGAGATGCAAACATACAAAATTATTTTGTTTCGTTCTTTCATTCAGTATCTTATACTATTTTAAGACACTTAAGCTCTGCCGTAAGAAACTCAAGTAATCTTCTTCCCCAGAGAATATGAATAATAAGGTTTCTGCCCAGTTTATTGCGAGTCCACCAGCGAGGCGCCAGCCGGAAGGTCGCTTTAGGATCCAATTGGCCTGATACGAACCTGCAGGGTGTCGGTTGTAAAACACGATTCGGACCATTCAGGGGGTCCTGTCATATCTATGGCAGCTAGACCCACGTAGCCTGAACGCCCCTCTACTGACTCCCAGGGTTCATGTCACGTGTTGCTCGCTCAATTATCGACACTTGAGACGGCGAACTGATCCGTATTATTACAAGGAAGCAAGTGCTGTGTGTCTTCAAAACGCCTGGCCCACTAAGCTATTTTAAGTGTGGGCCTAGAAGTCTAACTGCTATTCTTAGCACCAATAGTTCTGCCCTGATGAAAAAGCCCTCAGGTTCCTCCGAAATGCTAGTACCTATCTACCATACTAGAAGGACACACAATCTTAATACTCACCGCCAGAAACTCTAACCACTAAACCACATCCTTCCGAATTCATTACCTACAATTATACAATCATTTGGCGCCACATTATTCGAGTTTCTGAAAGCGCCGCTGTACAAAGTTCAAATGATAAAGGAAATACGGAAGAATTTCTATAGAAATGATAACCGAAAGTGGTTTATGTTTTGGTAGAGTACAGAACATTGTTTCTCCTGAAACTCCACATCCCATCCATATTTAATGCTTCATCCGTATTATAAATACTTCAATAAAATGGTTGCAGAAGATATTAAAGGAAAAGTTAATTAATCAAGTCTGAAGTATCAGGAATGCCCAGTCTATGACAATGATGCAATCGGAATAAGAAATTCAGTAAAAAGAGGGAAGGCCTTGTTTCTATCCTGACCCCTTCTTATAAGATCTAAAAGTTTATGACGATGGTACATTGCTACAAATATTATGTTTTGTGACATTATCCATCGTCTTGTCTCTGCCTAAAAACCATCCTGCTTATTTTTCAAAACACAACGTTTTGTGACTTCATTCGAGATACTTCTTTGGTACAAGGCTTCATACGTGTGGAGTTTCGATAATTGAATATTTTCTTAGCTCTCGCAGGCGGTTTGTGTTGTTGCTTGATCTATGTACCCCTTCTTGAAACTGGAATAGCTGTCCGGAGATAGGGATTAGCTCTATCGATTGGTTCCAACTGAGTAGGTTTTACCTGAAGACGGAGACAGAATCTAGTCTCCGAAACGTTGTGATTTGAAAAATAAACATGACGGTTTTTAGACAGAGACAAGATGATGGATAATAACACAAAACATAACATTTGTACCCCTTCTTATGCGGTAAATTATGCGACAATGAAGAAAAAAATTGAAGAAAGCAGTCTTCTGGGATTTGGCACCGTGTATATGTGGTGTTAACCGACGTTTCGGAGGAACGTATCGCCTCCATCTTCAGGGTAGAAGAAAAAATATAAGAAATCTGCAAGCGAAGAGACCGTGAGAACCGGTAAAAGCAGACTGTGCTGTAAGTTGTGCTGTGCTGAAGATGGAGGCGATACGTTCCTCCGAAACGTCGGTTAACACCACATATACACGGTGCCAAATCCCAGAAGACTGCTTTCTTCATAGTCACCGCCGTGAAAGCCTCAAATCTTACAAGAAAAAAATTGCCGACTTTCAACATAAATTTAAATACGAGCATCAAGAGCAACACCCTAAACACATGACATAACCTCACTTTGTCATTACTAAGTCTTGTATTCATCGTTCGGTTCAGTCTGTCTTATTTCACTAATAGGAAGGAAACGAGTATTGAGTTGAGTTAACGCTGTCGAGCCATTTACATGACACACACAGGCCTCGGTGATGTATTAAGTGTGTCTTGTAGCGTGAAATATTTACAGACACGGCAATTATACGATTAGCTTGTGTACACAGAGAGGTATGACGTTCGGAAACTTCTATTTATACAACGTCTGCAATATAAATATTCACCTGTCACTGGGAGGATCTGAAATGAAGTCAGGTTCGTATTTCAACATGATCCTGCACCCTACAGGTTTTCAACTTCTTTAGCTTAGAAACACTCCTTCAGAAGTAAGTGAGCTGTAACATGTTCCAGCTCTCACGTAAAATAAAATACTTACTGTGTAACACGAAGTTAAACGATATGATGAATATCACTGCCTTATATGATCTGACGTCGTGTAGTTCAGTAGATACTTTCCAACATTCCGCAGAAACCTTCCATCTTCATCGTAAGAATGATCTCATAAATTGAAGTAGCAGGTTCCTCCATTATGCTGGTAAACATTAAGCAAACTACAAAACGCCACAGCCAAACACACGGCAATCTTCATAGTCCCCCCTTGATAACATAAAGTCCTAGAAACGACGTACCGAGGCCGCGCCATAGCTCAAGTGGTTAGTCACTGACTTCCCATCGCGGCGGCCATGGTTCGATCCCGGGTCTGGTCAAGTGGGATTTGTGGTGGACAAAGTAGCGCTGGGGCAGGTTTTCTCCGAGTACTTCGGTTTCCCCTGCCAATCTTCATTCCAGCAATTGCACCACAATCACCCTCACCTATCATCTGGGGCTGGTACAATAGACCAGAAGTGGCCGCAGTACAAGGGACTTAGTCCCAACCCACTAGCAATAAAAAAACGACGTGCCGATCAATATGGCATTACACTACACTACACTACACTACACTACATCATATAAGGGTCGAGAAAATAACGATATTCTCCAGAATAGTTGCCTACCCTTGTCTTCTTTTATTTATGTAAGCATTCATATAGGTCTGAGATGTGTCTGTATACATGGAAATAATTGTTGTGCGGTCTAAGGGTATGCACTTTCTTCCATCACTGGGATCAAAGTCTGAACCCCATTCGGGGCCTTATGTAACAAGATAGAGAGGATCGGATATCCCATCCTAGGAAATCTTCGGTATGTCTAACAGATTAACTCAAGGTACGCGGGTTCAAACCCGGCGGAGGTCGTGGAA